GTATAAGTTTCTTTGGTTAGAAACATTTGGACATGTAGTGCCACTTGGGTCAGGATGTTCTTCAGTACTATTTATTTAGCAAACTATCTTTGGTTTATGCAACTAGCAAAAATTTGTATGATACAATAGAATATAGTTCTCACACTTAACTTTCATAGGAGAAGTTCTTCTGGAACCAACTTTAGCAAAATTAGAGGGAAAGTTCTAAGAATATTTAAGAGAAAAAGTTAACATTTTCAGGCTAAATAGTTGAATCTAATAAAGATAACAAATAATGTCTATTATCTCAACTCTCCAAAGTTTGGGGTTAGTGTTTAACTATCATTTGAGCTTATTCATGAGGTAGCTGAATAAAAGTAGGCAGCTAAATTTTAGTTTCATGTTCCTCCTGTATAAACAGAAAATAAGCAGTTATTTTAAACTGACTTGCAGACAAATCAGGAACTGCCCTGCATAATATTTAAGGAAAATGAACATTTAAAGACTTATTTATTTCAACATTTAATTTTAACAATACAATAGAAAACACAAGAAATTACTTCGACAAATCTGTAGCCTTTTAAAATAGTTTTGCTTTCAATTTTATTAAGAACAGATCTCTATCTTAAGCTTTATTCTTTTAAACAGATTTTGACATTGTTATTTTGTACTACAATTTAAAAGAAAATTTTTACAAAAAACTGTCTTTAGAAACATTTTATTCAAAAGTTATACTGTTAACACGATCAATTTATAACAGAAACATAACTTTTATATTATAAAATTATGCCAATGGATCACCAGTATTTAAAAATTGTTATTAGATCATATTTGTGCCTCAAACTGTCATATATCGATGTAACCACTGGATATCTAAAAAAGAGCACACATGTATAACATATTTGAGGTTGGAAACACCCCAAATCATTGCTTTTGAACTTAAAAGGAGTTTTAGTAGAAACAGAGATTTAAAAATAAAAACTCATTTTAAATACTTAATTTAAACAAAGACTACATAGACACTAAATTAGTAGCACTTTAGTTTTTATAGAGAAGCAAGCAAGCCATTTACTATCTCTTGAAACTATTA